GTGTCTTCCTCCTCCCCCAAATCACTGACTGTCCTGTCTTCCAGGTGGAGGCCACAAGCAAGAAAGAAAAGGCCAAGCAGAGGCCTCTGGCCCTGAACACCGTGGAGATGTTGCGTGTGGCCAGCTCTTCTCTGGGTACGTAGGGACATTTCTCTAAATTTAGTCTCCAGATGGCTTCCTAAGGCAGGTTTAGCCTGGAACAGTGAGTGCCCAAGGAGGCAAGGCGGTGCCTGAGGTTTCAAGGAGATCTGAGCCTCGTGAGGATTTCACTCCTCCTGAGGTTGTAAAGGTTTTTGGTAAAGTTGGCCACCCCCTGAGGGGACATCCTGATGTTAGAGTCCCTGAGCAGCTATCCCTAGTGAGGGGAGAGGCCTCCACCAGATGTCACCTTCTGGGAACCAGTGTGAACGTCACCTCTCAGCCTCGTCTCCTCAGTAGCGAGGAGGGGGTTGGGCTGGAAAGCTGTTAGTCTCTGGCAGCTGTCAGCCCCTAGGCATTGGTGTCCCCCTGCAGGGAACTATGGGCAGTGTCCTCTCAGAGTGGTGGCACCAGTGTCCTCAGAGGGCAGCAGTGCTGGGAGTGGTTGCTAGCTAAGTGCCAGCCTCTGCTGGCCAGGAAATAGCAGGACGAGCCCCCCTCAGTCGCCCCAGAGTGCAGTGAGGACAGAAACACCCAAGGGCTCAAAATGGGGCTATGTGCTAAGTCTGCCATGAGCCGACCCAAGGCATGGTTATGGCACCGTGGCCAGTGCATGGGGAGCAGTGCTCCAAAGGCCATGTCTCATCCCCATGGTCCCTAGTGAACGGCATTTCCCATCAGGCCCCTCCTGGGCTCACCCTCACCCATGCAGGATTCAGCCTCAGACAAGGCTGTGTGGCATAGGTGCCCACCTGGCCAGCAGCCCTGCACTCTAGCCATGCCTGTTCAGAGCCACCCTTACCCTCCAGGAGGGGCTGGCCACCTTGCGGGGAGCCTGAGTGCACAGACCAGGGCAGGCACCTGGCCCTCTGAGAGCCTCCTGTCTCTCACAGGCATGGGACCACAGCACGCCATGCAGACAGCCGAGCGGCTCTACACGCAAGGCTACATCAGCTACCCACGGACAGAGACCACCCACTACCCTGAGAACTTTGACCTGAAGGGCGCTCTGCGGCAGCAGGCCAACCACCCCTATTGGGCCGACATGGTGAGTTGAGCCAGGCCGGCCCCCACATGTGTGCGTCACCGAGGCCTTGGGACCAGGTCTGGTACTCGAGCCAAACCCAGGCAGGCAGCCGAGCCCAGCCACAGTCTCTGCTCTGTCTTCTCTCCCTCAGGTGAAGCGGTTGTTAGCAGAAGGCATCAACCGCCCACGGAAAGGCCACGATGCCGGCGACCATCCCCCCATCACCCCCATGAGGTCTGCCACAGAAGCCGAATTAGGTACCCCTCTCACCCCATACCCGCCATGCTTCCAGGGACGGAAAGGCAAGCTGCAACAGTGAAGGTTGCAGGCCCTGCCGGCAATGTGGGGGCTCCTTCAGCCCCTGCCTGCTCTGGCTGTGGCAAGCGGGGAGTCACCTGGAAGATGAGCTTCATTACTGTGGGACCAGGACAGGAATGAAGAGGTGGCAGCAGGTGCAGGTGGCTGTTGCAGGGAGGCGTGGGGGCAGACGCCACAGGGGACATACATGAAACCAAGGCAGAGAGTGGCAGGCTTCAGCGGTGGGGGGCAGGATGCCTCCTACCTCCCAGCTGGCCTGAGGCAGTACCATTGGTCCAAGTGCCAGGAGAAGGCAGATGAGGTACAGGTAGAGACAGAGGCCACTTGTGGACAGTCTGAGTTTGAAGTGGTGGTATCATGTCACGAGACAGTAGGACAGGCCCACACCTGAAGAGCAGTCCTGCCAGAAGCAGGGGGCAGGAGGTTGTGCAGGGTGGGGGGAGCTGCAGCCATGAAGGAACCACTGAGGCACAGAGGCTTGTGTTCCCTTCCTCCACATTGTCTTCTTTTTTTGAGACAGTCTTGCTGTGTCACCCAGGCTGGAGTGCAGTGGCCAGATCTCAGCTTATTGCAACCTTTGTCTTCCAGGTTCAAGGAGTTCTCCTGCCTCAGCCTCCTGAGTAGCTGGGATTACATGTGCCTACCATCACACCTGGCTAATTTCTTTGTATTTTCAGTAGAGACGGGATTTCACCATGTTGGCCAGGCTGTTCTCAAACTCCTGACTTCAAGTGATCCACCCGCCTTAGCCTCCCAAAGTGCTGGGATTACAGGCGTGAGCCACCGCGTCCAGCCTTCCTGCACATTTTCTTTCCTCCTTCCCTGAATTTGCAGTGTGTCCCGCACAGTGGCCCTGTAAGCAGGACCTTGCTGCTCAAGCGAGAGTGCTGGGGCTCCTCACGGCCAGAGCCCTCAGCTGGCTCCCAGCTAACTAGCCCTGGCCTGTTGCAGGGGGTGATGCATGGCGGCTCTATGAGTACATCACCAGACACTTCATCGCCACAGTCAGCCATGACTGCAAGTACCTGCAGAGCACCATCTCCTTCAGGATCGGGCCCGAGCTCTTCACCTGCTCCGGGAAGACCGTCCTCTCACCAGGTCACACTGCGGGCCCAGCGTTCCTCCTCCCCACCTTCATGGGCAGACAAAAAAAAGCATTCTACATCGTGTCTGGGGATGGGACGCCCAGGGTCTGAGCCGGGGCCCCACCAGGCTGGGGACTCTGAGTGGTGGCACCTGTCTTTCCAGGCTTCACGGAGATCATGCCCTGGCAGAGCGTGCCCCTGGAGGAGAGCCTGCCCACCTGCCAGCGGGGCGACACCTTCACTGTGAGTGAGGTAAAGATGCTGGAGAAGCAGACGAGCCCACCCGACTACCTGACGGAGGCTGAGCTCATCACGCTCATGGAGAAGCACGGCATTGGTGGGTACGCCTGCCCAGGCCCTAGAGCCAGCTCTGTCTCCAGCACTCAGGCTGAGAGTCTACTCACAAAGCTGCCCAGCCACCCCTGTGTGCACAGCCCAGCACCCGTCCACGGGCTGGTGTCTGGAAACTGATGACCCCACATGTGACCAGACAGGCAGGTCCACAGCAGGCATCCCTTCCCAAGGCCTCCACTCAGAACCTGGACTTCCCTGTGAAGGCCCTGATGTGCCCTCGTGCACTGTGGGGTGGGCGCACGCTGACTAATGCCCACAGGGCTAAAGATTTGCCGAGATGTCAAATGACTCATAGAAATCATTTTGGCAGTCTCCTGAGTCCGCACAGTCAGCCTGGTCTGTCCCGAAGTCACGTGACAGGGAAATGAGACCTCACAGGAGCTGCTTCCCTGGCGGAGGGAACAGAAATGCCTGTCCGAGGGACAGGGCTCCCAAAAGGATGACCGGGAAGTTTCTAACCAACAACGGGCAGCCCAGGGGAGTTTATCAAAGCAAAAATGTAGTCACCAGTGCACACTCCTCACAGAAGAGGTGGCCTCACAAGTCCTCAGGCGTAGGGCTGAGTGAGGTCTCACATGTTGGGGGCCAGCCTCACTGACAGAACCTTCTCCCAGGTGGTACTCGCACTGCTGGGCACTGCCTGTTGCCTGTGGCTCCATCTCCAGCTGCGCCTGGCTGATGGGCTCCAGAGGCCTATGGGATGTCACAGCCACTGTGTCCAGGCTCTGCTCCAGCA